GTAGTTTTCGCAACAAACGAGGATTATGTTTTTGTGGAAAATAATCATACTTAAGTAAATTTTTTTTTTATTTTTTGAAAAGTTAGGAAATGCAAATGATCAAAATCGGCGCAATATTTTTTGGAGCATATCGGGAGAAAAGAATTTTCATTTTAATTTCTATGATACAAATTTTTTTCCCGATTCAATAGTTCAATAGTGTTTGGCCGAGATTCTACTCCGATTTGTGGTGTGCGCCTTGATGTTGTCACACAATTTAAGTACACTACCTTAAGGGTGGTACCGAGCAAATTTTGTTTAGATCCTAATTGAGTCATGAAGAAATTAACGGTACACGTAAATTTTTATATGAGAATTTAAGTCGGTTGTGGTTTTTGCTTAAAAATTACTTGTTTATTATATGTATGTTCCAACCATGAACCGAATTTGGAGCTGAGCACAATTTTTGAAAATTATCTCGACTTTAGCGCCACTTATGGGGTATTTTTCGTCTGCGTAACTGACTGATGAACTCCAGCTTATAGGAGGCGGAATGTGTAAAGCGCCAAAGTTGCTGATGTTGATGCTGAGGATGTCGCCACCGCACACATGAATAAGTTCTGGCAGGCACAGTGCGATTTGATACAGAGACACTTCGCAACGTCTTAAGGTGGGTAATGTGCTGTGCTCTCTTTGTTAATTTGATTACAATGGAAGCAGAAGGTATAAAAGTTGGTGAAGCAGTTTTCCGGCAAATCCCTCAAGTTGATCTAACTGATCATTTCAATAACCGAAGTTGTATAGTTCCTTCCTAGTTGAGGCTTCAGCTATTATTTAGCCTGTGAATGAATTCGGAACCGATCCATCCATATCCATAACATGGCAGAGTTATCCACATAACATATACGTGTTATTGTTGGTTTGCTAGATAGAGCCTTTAACCTCTGGTCGTATATATAGACCACCACCAATACTGTAGAGTAATCACTTCCGATCAAAGTGGCCCTTTCTAGCACAACCGGGAATTCACGCATATAAAATTACTGCATGCTGAGAGCTATGTTGACATTGTCGAGTGAAATACCAATATACCAAGAACAAATGGCAAACCAGAAAAAATTACCCTTTTTTATTAATATTCATATATATGTATATTAGGGAGGTAAAAAAAAAATATTAAGTCGAAGTTTTAATACTCTCCTAGTGGGGGAAATATGGGGGGGATATCGAAAAAAATTGACCCCCGTTTTTCTTGTTTGAAAGCAAAATATTTTTAGAAGTCGCACAAAGCGCTCAAAGTTTTCCATGCATTTTGTATGGGAAAAACCCCTTTTCGTGGAAATGGTATAGAGTTCTTGAAAATCAACTATGTTTGTTTATTTTACCATTTTTTCCTACTAACGGTATTTCTTGGATCACCATAATGTGTGTTTTTTTTTTTTTTGGCACTTATAAAAATTGGTAATATTAAAAAAGGATTAAATAAACAATTGGCTATTATTATTGGAAGTCTCCTGAAGAGAAACAGGGCTTTCCGATCGAAGAATATTGATGATCAAGAATTCTATAACATTACTACGAAAAATAGTTTTTCTCATATAAAATACCTGGAAAACTTTAAGCGATTTGAGTGATCTCTAGTATTTTATTTTTTTATTTAAGAATAATAAAAAACGGACTTTACTTATTTTAGCCCACCCTAATGTACATACATACATACATATGTATGTGCCAAGAAGATAATCAATTTATATCTCATTCCAACATCAACTGCTGCTCATAAGCACTAAACGCTTTGCAATTGAATACAGTTGCAGGAATAAATAAATAAATTATAAATTATTTAAAAATTCATAAAGCACACAAATTCATAATGTACTAAATGTAAGATAGTATAATTAAATAAATGTTAATTCCAAATGGCCGCTAGAAGGGCAATAAATTTAAATTAAAAAGCGCATTAAGCTACTAAATGCAAGTTCATTAAAAAAAAAAAAGAAAAACAAAAGAAACAGTTGCAATAAGTAAGTTAGTAATAGCAAGAAAAACAATGTTATGCGGTGCTGAAACGTCATAGCAGAAGTTGTTTGCTCAAAGAAAGTGATTTTTTTTTGCAAACAAAATGTTTACGAATTAAAGGAGAAGAATCGGCAAAAATACCAAAGTACATAAAACCAACATAACAATGCCTTAGAACCCAGATTTATAATTCGGAGAATGCTGTAAAAAAAAATTCCCAACCAGCGTAGTTAGCTATACCGAAGCATGCATGCTGCTATTGCTTATTAACATAATAATTGCCGGCTTCCAACATTACACGCCCGATACTAACCAAAGTAAGCAGGTATCTATTATTGATTGCGAAATGTTTTCAAATTATTTCCAATTAATTCATGATGCACAGAACAGCTATGCATTTATTACAAAAAGAAATTATTTCTCATTGCATAAAGTACTGTAAGGTGTAGCAAAATGGGATTTCCAACGTTGGTGGGGGATTTACAAAGGCAAGGGTGAAATCATAAGAAGAAAGGAAGTTAGGAGAAAAAAAACCAGCCTTGCTAAGAATTGCATATATGTATGTACATACATATATCAAGTGCAATCAGTTTGTTGATAACACTGTTATCGCAACAAAAAATGCACATTGAAGCTTAATCAATGGGTTCTTCGAACTGCACCTCATAAAAATGTGCAAGTGTTTGCACTTAAAGTGAACTTAGTGTCAAGTATTTGAAAAGTTTAAAATAATTTTATAAAATACTTTTGAGAGCCGTCTGTCTGTATAATCGAATTTATATAAACCTGTTAAGAAAAAGCTATTCACGAGGATCCTAATTTAACTAAAGTGTTAAAGTATAGCTGCTAAGTATTTAATAGCGCTATGCTGTTGCTGCAAGAATAAAAAAATAAAAGCGATAGCCATGGAGGTAACGATAGCAACAGTAGATGAAGGAAATTTATAACGAAATGGATAAGTAAAGGAATATCCCATAGTAATATCGATCGAACTATTGATAAACAGGGCTGCAAACCGGTTTTGAACCGAACCATTTTTATTTTGAAATGCTAACACCGAACCGAAAACCACACCCAAAAATTGGTTCGGTTCGGTTCATCCATTCCATGCATATCCATAAAAGCGTTCTGTTATACACAACTTTGTCTAAAAAGGCAAACCTTTGGTAAAATATAAAAAATGCTTGATATGATTTTATATAGAAGAAAATGCATATAACTGCCAGCAAAAAAAAAAAAATCAAAAATCGTTGCGATTTTAAGCCATGTGATTCAAACTTACTATATCAAATTAAAGTCAAATGGGCTATAAAACTGCATATTCGGATTTTTTTTATTTCTAATTAAAAAGTTTGAAACTATAATGCAATTTTGTTGAAGTTCGTAGATTTTTTCTAATTAAAGTACAAAGTTTGATATTTGGATATGGTTTTTGTTATATAAGGAGCTATACTTTTATAAAAAAATAATAATGAGCATTAAAGAGACGAAAAAAAACAGTCAGATATCGCACTCATAATATTTTGACCAGAGGTATACATGTATATACATATGAATTTAAGGCCTAGTGCAAGCTCCAACCTATCGAAATTAAGGGTTTCAACATTAAGCCAAGATTTTGAGTGTCAATTAAAAATTCTGGGTATGTTGTTTTTGTCTTCTCGACTAGACTCACGAACTTTTTAAAATTTCAGATCAATTAAGAGAATAAACTCTACAAGAAAAAGGTATACCTAAATCTAGCGAAACTAATGTTATTTTATTAAAGTACCAGAACATCCAAAAAATTGAAAGCTATGTATTATATTTAATTTGTTTTATTTATTATTTTAAGTAAATTTAAGTGCATATACGAGACCAAGTCTAATATTACTTTACTTTTAGATTTATATACATATGTATATGTTTTTTCAATAAATTTATATTAAAAAAAAGTCCTTATAAGATAGCACTCATTTTTATGAAAGTTAGAAACTTTTGAAGCCGTTTTCTCAGTATTTCGTATGTCTTTAATAAAATAAAAATAAAATATTTTCGAAGTTATCATTATTAACTTTTAGTTATAGCGCCTGCACTTAAGAATAACATTATTTAGTACCTGCGTATTTTTTCACAAATTTAAAAAAATTGTTTGGAATATTTTTTTGTAATTTTTTTTTTATATTTTCTAAAGCTCTGGAATGTTTTAGGCGCATTTGGTGATATAAAGAAGTGCTTGGCGTAAAAAGTATAAAGTATTAATTTTTATTTTTATTTCAGTTATTTGAAATAGTCGTGCTTGCAAATTTTTTTTTTAATTTTGTACATAACTCATGCTCGTTAAAACAAACATTTGTAACGAAGTTATTGAATCGAGTCGCTTGTTCGCTCTTATGGCTGACATTTTGTCTGTTTCTAATTCTAAGTTAAAATATGTAAATATTACAAAATATCTCTGAAATAACTTGTAAAAAAATTATGAAATCCCGTAAACATTTGGCTATTGGCAGTCATTAGCTACGACACTAAGTTGCAGTTACAAGCGATTAGCGATGGGCGACGCTAACGTGTTAAGTTTTCTTCTAAAGTAAAAAAAAAACAAGACACGCACACACACATTTTTCTATGCGGCGATGCATTAAGTACTAATTAGATAAAAAAGGTGTCACGTTGAGAACCCGCTTAGAATAATAAATGACTTTTTGCAAGCAAATATAAATTTAGAAGCGTCTACAACTATTCGACGTCGGGGCGAAAGTGTTCGCAATAGAGACACTTCAAATATTTGATTAGCAAATATGTATTAGAGAAATTTTTACACTTCTACACCTGCCTTTAAGTATTTTATAAAAAAAACTCAAAAAAAGTAGACGCATTCCTTTTCAATGTTGCTGCATTACCGATGTCCCATAGAAAATCCTATGCATGCGAGCCTCTTAACATCAATAACATAAGTAAATAACACACTAACATCTCTTCTTCTACCTCTACTTGCCATGTAAATAAAAGTTACTCATACGTACCGTTGCACTGTGTCTGCTCAACACCGGTAGCGAGCAGCAGCAATGTGCTTAGCAGCAAATGTAAACGCTTGTACATTATTTTACGGTTTTGTGATTCAGCAGTTCCACTTTTTTTTTAAAGAATTTGACAGCACTCGCTATTCTTTGAAACACTTTATGCGTTTCTTTCTTCTATGTGTAGATATGCAAAGGCCTTGGGGTCGTTCTGCTCAACAGATGTTCCCACACAATATCGAGTTGTGGCTTCTTCTTAAGTTTTGCATAGCAGCCGTTTAGTAAAATTTTCTTTTCAAACTGTCGCTTTTTTATTTCTAAGTATGATTTGTTGTTGTATGAACTAGTTGCACCAAATTATCTGAAATGTATTAAAATTTTTTTGTATTATTTGAGATGCATATAAATGAATTATTT